ATCTTGCATATATATAACTAATTATTAGTTAATGAACTTTCAACTGTTTTGTCCCATTCTACCTTCAATCTATTTCTTTCCAGTCTTCATGCAAGTATAGCTACAAGTCTACCATTTAAACTTTTCCTTAGTCATATTCATTTTTATTAAACTATTATGTTTTCTTGTTTTTCTTCGGATGTCTCTCTTAGGAAATTGACCCATTTCTTAGACAACGAAATTCACTTGTCCTTTTAGGCTACCTTAGATTGACTTCCCATTTTTGTCTCTTAAGTTCTATTCGTCCTACTGAGTTTTAAAAAAAGATTTAATGCTTTTTTTGTGCTTACACAAGCTTTTTCATATTCTTAGTCACTCATCTACAACGTAGGACCAGGCACTTATGTGCATCGGTCCAAGTTACCATACCTCATTAGCACAACAAGATGAACCCCGGATTCATAGTAGTTAATTTAATAATGGTAATATATAAAAAATTGCGTATAAGGATATAGTACAGAAAGGAAGAATTAGTTCATAGAAAGAAAGATATGATGTTTAAGGGAAGACAGAAAGTGTATACACCTATGCCCTTTTGATCGATTATGAGCCAAGAGTCTCTAACCACTGGTTACGATAGTCATGCAGACCCCAACCAAGTAGTCTGCGTCTACTAACATAGCTCAGACCAGAAGCTAATGACTTCTAGCACTGATGCCACGTTTTGGTTTGGCTGCACCTAGCTTCTTTCCAACCATCCCCAACACTAGTGAGCATTGCATGTCGTGGTAATCGGTGTTCAGCCAGACGTAGATTTGTTCATCTCATGAAAATGAAAATACTTGTCTTAACCACAAATCCACATTAATGTTTGAATACTCTTGATTGTTATATTTGAATATATTCTGTCTGAGGTTATCTGTAACATTTTCAATTAATGTATATCGTATCAATCACTTTCGGTCATTTTTACGTTTAGTGAATTATTAAATAATGTATACTTTTAACTAGTGATTTCATTTCAAGTTATAGCTTTCACTATATTGATTCTTGTCATTTAATATATTGGTCTGTGCTACACTAACTTGTCATAACAGACAGTGACAAATACGTAAAATGAAAACTTCAAATGATATTCTTACTAATGCAATTAAATTGAAGTATATTATAAAAGCATATTTCTTTTTTCTTGTTTGCCGCAATAAAATCAGAAATTAATTTTTGGTACTATCAAGATAACTATATACATATCATACATTAGGCACATCGTATTGAGGTCAGTGTATAAATTGTTCCGAAATCCATAATGTTTACAAGTTTGTTTATTCTCCAAATGGATATTGATCAATATGTCGACATATTTATATATAGATTCATATATGGTTCCACACTAATTTGCATTAATATTTATTATAATTTCTCATTGTAAATGAACAAACATTATTGTATTAAAGATAATATATATCTCTAAATAAGTGACTATTATTTCAATCAAGGTTATGTACGAATAGTTAGTAAAATGTCATAAAGATGCATTGATTGTATGGAGTGGGATAGTTAAGGTATTCGACTTTTAATTATATTAGATTGTTGTACAATAATTACCCAACATCAATGATTGGAGAGACCAGTATTGTTCACAATTGGACAAAATGCTTTCACATTTTATCTTGTCTTAGATCTTCTGTTCTACTATTCCTCCATACACGGCTTTTCTTTCTGTTTTTTTCTAAACTATATCCGCAAAGTTTAGTCTTTCGCATTACCATCTCAGCTATTTAAATTCCTTTTATGCTACCCCTTTTGTTAAATTCACTCCATTGTGTTGTGACCATTTGGGCTCATGTTTATAACTGACTGACTAATCTACCGCTTTTCATAGATATATTCAGTGTTCTCACATAAACGCTTCGAGCTACCTATTTGGAGAAATACATGCACAATCTTTCATTAATATCGTATTTTCTTTTTTTCCTTGATTTATTACTTTGTATAATTATCAAAAAAGTTCAAGTTATCCTGTTGATATTCTCAATTGAATTTTGAACAGTCGTCGACATATGTTCATCCGATGCGAATCGCCGCTAACAGTGGAATACAAGATTTTGTTTTCGTCCTATTTTGGACTCGTCAATAAGATACACTTCTACCCCAATGTTGATGTTCACAACGAACTCGAATCCGTTGCATTTCACCTCAAACTCCAAATACGTTATCCACTGAGCTACTGAGTTTAAATAGCCACTAATTCGTGTAATGGTTTTATGTTAAAATGATGACTGACCAACTGACTGATATTAGAACTACGACTCAAACCACATTTTAATCATTCTTGTTCATTCAGTTATATTGTATCACTAACTGTCAGATGCAATATGTGTACATGAATTTGAAACAGATTATTGAATTACATTCAATCAATCATCTATTTATATTTTACATTTTTTCTACGTATGGGAGTTTATCGTCTACTATTTGTTCATGTATAATTGGAATAATTTGAAAATAGTAACTAGATTTGATTCTCCACAAACGTTTAAAAGGATTCGTTTATGTTTACAGTATGTTTTTATGCCAAACAATGTACTATTGTGATAAACGTCTCTTTGTTGTATGAGCAGTCGGAACCCCTCATTAAAGTCTTTGGCGGTTCCAAATATGCTGAAAATACATCTAATTAGCGTTCAGTAGAAATTTTTAAGAGGATTCTAAAAACCAACAGATTACTTATTATCCCGTTTGGATAATTACCGATTACAACCTCATCATCACATATAAACCATGGGAGTGAAATTTCTTTCATATTTTCCACCCTTCATTTTCTTGTTTCAGTTCGAAGACTAGAAGATTTCTAGGCACTAGAAAACTTTCATGAAGTCAGTGTCTAAGAGCTTAAGTACCAAATATATCAATAAGTACACGTTATATTTTACATTGCTATTTTCATACTCAACTACTCAGTTTATTTCATATAATAATCTCCATATTTTTTTATCAAAAATAATTTTCATTTCATCATTTATGATTATATGAACTAAAAATAGAAGAGTCACCCTTTAAGAAGATCAATTTCTCAGTATTGCCTATTTATGAGTATATTATTGTCAGTAAAATGAAAGACATGTTTTCCTACTGAAGTAAAATTATTATTCATTGTCTTTTTATACATCGATACAGCTTAGTGTATAAACTAAAAGTTTAGACTTATGTCAACACCGATTTTGAAAAGACAAGCTGTTGGTTCTAACAAACTAACTTCCTACTAATAAGCCCTACGATACTAAACTAATTTCATTTAATTACAGCTCTTTACAAAGAGAATATATAATCTCTGACAGATTATCAGGTTGATATAATAAGATCTTTTCAAATCATCAGTCAACACCCAAACTCCATTTTTCCTAAATTTTCCGAAGCTATAACTAAACGTTTCAAGCTGGATTTATTTACCCAAAAATTAAGCAGTCACAAATCTTTCCTTATCATAGTTACTTAATCATCAGTTTCTCATATCATTCTTGTAATTCTCTTATTTTGATTGCACCACTTCTTTCAAATTCAGAATTTTATTTCCAACTGACTGATCTCAACTCATTCCTATTTGTTACTAATTTATGTTTAATTACTCCATCACATAATCAGTTGATTTCTTCCTAGTTCTATGATCCCTTGTTACTATGTTCGATGATCCAGAATCTTCTCTCGCATTTTATGTTTACACCACTCTTTATAATTCTCAAAATTTAATTGCATTTACTCAAATCATCACTATCCACAAAGAAAGAGTGGAATTGGAAGAAGTTTATCCCAAAAACCCACACTGCCTTATCCCACTGATTTCCGCCTCCGATGGTAAGGTCTTGATAAGTACGGAACTAACACAAAAAGGTCGTGTGTGACAGGCCTCAATCAGTTGTCCCTTGGGCATGTTATTCTGCCCAATTATTTTTTCTTACTCTCTCCAAGATCATAATAATGGCAACTAATTATGTGATATGTTCGTTTTGTTTCTTATCATTGTACTTCGTATTTTTTCATTGAAGGCATTCGTTATTGAGTAATGTATTCACATTTTCGTTACTGAGTTAAATTGTTAAATATGAACTGTTTATTGTATGTAACCCAGTCAGTTGTAAATTCATGTACACATATTACATATGACAGTAACTGATGATACTATATAACTGACTGAACTAAAGTGATTAACGCGGGGTTCGAATCACCATTCTAAGGTCAATTAGTCATCAATGTAGAGTCTAGCACGGACAGGTTCTCTAACGTTGTGGTTAATGATATTTTTGGAAACTAATATTTGATATTTGTGTCAATTTATTATTTGTTCACAAATTTCTTAGTGATAATAGTAATAATAATATTGTACTTTTATATGACAAATTTATACATTTATGTTCTTCGATGATTGAATATAGTCAACAGATAACCCTGAATTTGGGTTTTGTGTGCTAGTCGGCACTCATCAACAAGGTGTACCTGAGAACTTGATAAATTGATGTTCTCTAATCCATTCGAACCTTGATCACTCAGTACCTCAGTCCATAGCATTACCAATGACTTATTCTGACTACCTGAGGCTTCCTGTATGACTGAGTTATTTACATTAATTGATTACTAATTAATGACTAATATCATATTTGTCTGCTCCTTAGTGGTGGTTGAATTTTATTGACTAATTCTACTTTCATCCATTTAACATAAATCTCAGTGCACTCAATTTCGAGTTACTGAGTCTAGTTGCTATATTTCAACGTGATCGATACAATTCGACCAAAACCAAGGAAATTCTAGACAAACATGATACTGGCCATTACTTAATAACTCATCAATGTATATATTACGATTAGTTTTCTAATGTGACTAGGGTTTTGTTGTAATACGTTTAACATATCGCTCATGTGCAATTACCTAGTAGAAAATGCTGATTGTTTGTAGTATATTGAATTTATTCTATTTCAGCAATAAATAATCAGATTGTTTTCTTAAATCCTATCTTATTAATTTAGCGTTTCCCTACTAATGTACGAAAATATCAACTTGATCGAGTTATAGCCCGGTTTGATTTCGAGACCAAAGGTGCCGGTGAATTATCTTTACATCGTGGTGATGTTATCGAAGTGATTAATCGTAATGATGAAAATTGGTGGCGTGGTCGTACATCCGATGGACGATGTGGCCTATTTCCATCAAATTTTGTAGATGATTTACCTTCAGTCATATAAATAAATTTTCAGTAAAATATTGCTTTAGAAACTAGTAAGTAACTAATCAATCATTCACAAATGTTGCCTCGTTAACTTTCTTTTATACTTTAAAATCTTTCTATGTATGTGTGTGTGAGTGTTTGGGCATAAGCATCCCTAGTTTCTGTAAACATATACATGTAGCTCTCTTTTTCTCTCCGTTTATCTTACTGACAAGGATTTAACCTCGTTCAGCTTTGTATTCATATACTCCTTTCCAATAGCTATACATACATTTATCATATTAATTATCGTGAAAAAGAAAGAATAGATGAACAACACGTGCATATAATTTACATAATAGAGCACAATAAACCTCTTTGCTTGTTTGTTTGTTTTATATACTGTTCTTTGTCCAATTTCTTTGTGTCTTTTTTTCTTCAAATATTGATTTATCTTCTTAAAATCTAATCGAAAATATAAGAAGAACAAATCAAGTAAATATTTACAAATAAAAATGTTATTAGCATATTAAGTACTATAATAATTTATTTCAATAACATTCAATGTTTTTCACTAGTTGTTGGGGCTTCTTATTTGCTCGCCTTGATTTATTATTATTATTATTATTATTACTATTATTAGACATTGAATTCGAATAATTACATCATCAGCGAACAATTTTCTGTCTTAACTGAATGTATAAATTCTCTTATTGATTCTGTGTTCTGCCTTGATGTTGAATAGTAACTATTAATCAAAACAGGATATTTTCCTTTGAGTTGATCCAACTATATATTTATATATAAACGGATAGATGTTGTCTGTGAAACTCGTCGTCTATTTTACTGTCATTATTGCTATTTCTTCGTATTGCATTGTTTGTTGTTTCTCTCCGAGTCTTTGTTATTTTCTTACTCATACTACAATATTACTATTATTAGTATTATAGATATTCTTAACTGTGCAATACACCCTAATCAATCATTACGCATGTACGCACCATTCATCATCACACTTGCTGCCATTTTTGCTTATTTTGTACCTCCTCTTTCTTTTCCTTTCTTTCACTAGTGTATATCTTCATTGTCCTGTTATTTTATTTTGTCCCATTTTGTTGTCGTTCCCATTGTGTGGGGTAACCGTTGCCACTCATATCTTTTTTCCCATGTACACTGATCAGTCCGTATGGTTTGAGGCTGTTTTTTTTTAAATTTCCGATTTACCATGTTTTGTTTTGTTTCTTGTGTTCATTCCGTTTATGGATTAATAAAAGAGCGCGGAACAGACGACTATGTGAATAATTACATTATCATATTATTATTATTATTACTATTACTATTATTATTATTATTATTATTATTATTATTATTATTATTATTATTATTATTATTATTATTATTATTATTATTATTATTATTATTATTATTATTATTAATGGTTTACATTCTGATGTTATTAATCTCTTTTTTAAATGTTCAAGACTTTTTATAGTAGTGACTTGTGTTCATTAGCATTTTATTTCCTAGTTTGCTTCTATCGCTGACTATAGCTGTTATCTTCTATTAGTTATTGAACTTGTCACTTCTAATCGTTTGTTTGAGTGATATTGGTTTAAATACTTCTACCTTGAAATCATAACACCCTGGTCAAGTTGTTTAAAGATTGATCTAATCAAATAAAACAATTCTAAATTCAAAGTTGTACTGTTCTCTATGCTGCTTTGCATGTAAAACCAATATCCGGCCACGTAAAAAATTGGACTAGGGCGTTCCCAAAATAGTACATCGATTCTACTCGCACGTTTCTGGCGAAAAGACATAGTAAGTTATAAGTTGATTCTACAAGGATAATTACTCACTAGAAGGTCGCATGTGACCATCTTCTGATAGTTTTTTCTTTAAAATCACCATTCACATTCTCAATTTCATGAAACCAACTTAACGAGCACAAAATCTAGATCCAGGCATTCTTGCCTATAGCCTCCTATCATGTAGCATACTGATTGGTCTAAGCAGTGAATATTTGTTGCAAGGAAGAGCTGATACGACTTCTAGAGACCAGGACCTTGTATTCCATAGTCCACATTTTTGGTTATCTATTGGTATACATGTTTGAACTTCGTTCCATAGTGTCCCGCCAACAATGTGTAGTGTTTTTAGAATGATAATTTTGAAGAAAGCACGTAGCTCCGTCGCACTATTTCTCCACATGATAATCAAAATTAGTTTACTATAAATGTATTTATTGCGAAAGCTTCAACTTTCTTTTTTTTGCTTCTATCCTTTATTTGTATTTTTCAACTCTTAGCAGCTGCTCTGTGCTGAAAGTCCTGTTCTGTATAAATGATCTCAAGTCGGTTGAAATTTCGAATGCTACCACTGAATACAGAATATGAATCATCTTTCCTGAAACGACGTATACCATTCAGATTCGCCTCCTTCAACGTTCGCACAAAAATGCAAATCGGACAGATAATAGGGTTAGGTGATTTTGGAAAGCCTTGACATGGATGTTTGCCGTATATCCGAGACCCACATTTAAGACTTTGATGAAGTCATATGACTTCGTCCTTCATCTGTCGATTCGAAAGACTTGCTTTGCTTGCACTTATCCGGAAACCCTCTGGCATCTCCGTCCGGTTTAACCATCATTGACATCGTACTAAACACCATAGCAAAGACAGAACTGACCCGTTTCATCCCCATCAACAGTCATTTATGTTTTGTTAAATTAAAAAGCTCCATTATAGTGAGGGGAACTTTGTGCGATAAACGATATCTTTTCCTCGTCTCTGTCTAATCCCCAACAGATTGGGGCCCTGATGCAATCATGACTAACCATCGCCATTAGTTAGATAATGTTCTCAAGAAAGCGTTTTAAGCAGATATTTTAATGCTTGTCAGAGATTAGAATGCACAGATTGGGCGGCTCAATTCTTAGCGGAGTCACTCAGGTGACCAATTTTGTCTCAGGTCAGAAAAAAGTGACAGTCTCCTGCAGCTTTTCTTAAACCACAACCTGTTTCTAGCCAGCCCCAGATTTCGGTACAGTCATCGGCATCCTCAGTCAGCAACTTGAACACAGACGTAGATTAGTCACATCGCGATAAGCTACGAATGGTGTAGTTTTCAAGAAGACTAGTACTCCCCTCTTAGCACCTATCTGGTCTCTGATCATGGTACGGTTCGCGCTGATCTCATCTTGCAGTTTAGTTGCCTGAAAACATCGATAGTATTCTGGGAACAAGCTGATGAAAGTAGGTGTGATAGTGTAGATTCATTAGACCGGAAAAAAAATCCCAGTCTACAGTAAACAGATGATTCTGACTTACACTGCGATGTTAATCAAGCTATGCAATCCTCAATTAGTCAGTCTATGTACGACATGTACTTTGTACCTTCTGAATGCAGAGTACTTTTACAAGACTGGTGGAAGCCTATATGTACACACTCTTGGTGGTGAGCCGTTAGAAGTATCAGGGAAACTCATGTATCTGGGTAGTTTTGTGAGTGGTGGCGTGACTGATATGATCGATTTACGTATATTGGAAGCCAGATTAGCCTGTTTTAGCCTTTGGCTCCTTTGTGTTAGTTTGGTTGTAAAACGTCGAATTTACAACTTCACGATGAGCTCATTTATGTTCTTGAAACATTTTCTCTTCGTGTTGAGGATGTCCGGTCATATTTGTCTCTGAATGATTACTGACATTCGATGCAATACCGTAATCATAATGCGGAGGTTTGACTATGCTTTTTTAGGGATCAATAATTACCTTATTGGTACCATTACCTTTAAACACCGGCTTCAGCCGATTGACTATTTGTTATGAATGCAATCCCAGCGTCTTCCATATCGCACATTAATTCCCAACACTAGGGCTGTGTGGAAACAGCAGTGTGGTAATCGTTCCATGAAGTTGTGTCGTGTTGTGAAGGTAATTCATTTAGGACTAGCATATATTGTCCCATCACTCCGTTTCTGTGATGTAATTCACTGGTTCGAAACTTTATCAGACATAGCTCAGACCAGAAGCCGTTGACGTTTCCTTATTTATGTGGTTCATCTTTGCTTTGATGCCCAGTTATTCTAGTGTTTATGTATATCAAATAAATAAATATTAGAATATGTAATTAAATAAAAATGTGTCTACCATTTCATCGACTAATTAATCTAGGTAGTTTTGAAAAAGTGTTGAGAAACAAAATATTCATTTGATTAGCAATAATTTACTATAACTTACGTGAACCATTTGAAATGTAACGGATGTGGGTATTTTTTTTAATAACAAATTGCTACATGTAATCTGAATAAAAATCATTCGAACTGATTACTTAGTAACAATAAAAATTTTTACAGTTCATTAGACTTTGAACCGCTTGTCGAAATATGAAACTGAAGTGTTGTACAAAAATGTTCTGATCCATCAGTTTATATTTTATATGTACATTAATACGATATATTAACTTTGTACAGTGAGCAATGCCATCTTATTCAACATTTAGATTTATATTGTTCCGTGAATTTCGGAAGTCTAGCAAATAAAAAGATAGTAATACAAGTGAAGCTTAGTTAGTTGATGTATAAAAATCATGAGTTACTCATATGGCTTATAGGTGGACTTGAAGTTTTTCAGTCTATTTAAATATATATCAAATTTAGTGATTTATATGTTTAGTTTAGTCTCTGTGTCTCTCGCTACCTATATTTGAAAAAAATACGAGGAACCACTGCAATTATCACGACACGAATTAAGAACATCAAGAATGATACAAGTGAAGATTCATTAACCCGAAAATATGAAGACGGCCCTAGTCCAAAATACACTCATTTATATATTGATTGTACACCCATGTTGATTATTAATTAGAATAAAATGAGATATGTGAAAAATATCCAGAGTTATGGAAAAACACATGCTACATCACATGTTGAGGATAGTTGATCTCACTCAAATAAATTAATGTTATGCCGAATAGAATATCATATTGGAAACACAGAAAACAAATACTACACTGAATAATCATCATATAGAATTAAAAATGGAAATAATGTAGAACAAGAATGTAATTTTTCCCTTCATCACATCGGTAACCTATTGCTCCATGTCCTTAAGCTGAATGGCAACAATACTCTCCTTTATTTTAGTGCACAGATGGATCAAGAACAATAACAACTGTCGTTCACTGTTTAATCGAAACTAATATAATTAATATTGTAATATAATAATAGTAATTATCAACTAATAAACTTTATTATATACTTTGTTCCGTATAAAAATCTGGGTTTTTTTATTATTTTCATTTGTGATGAATGTACGTTAGCAAGATGAACAGAAAAACAAGACATTTTATTAGAAAAATTATCAATTTAAGAATAATAGAAAAGTTCGAAATGTTTTCTACTCATTAAATAGTGTAGATAAAGTATACAACTAATTTGTATGATCTAGTGGGATATAGTATTTAACTTGTAGAGTTATGTATAATTTCACAGCAATTACCGTTAATAAATGATACTCGTTGAAACTCAGTAACTCAAAGAATAATAAACATGTATTGTGTTACATTTTAGGACACTTTAGGCATACAGACCGATCACGATTATAAGGACTGAATTAAAAATTTATTTTTACAGT